CAATAGCTGGACAAAAAATGTCGTTAACCATGAAAGAGGTTGATCAAGAGACGGGTGCCGATTTGAATCCAGCATCACATTCACACATGAATGACGAAATGCGCGATAGAAATCCAGACAGACCAATGGCTAGCACCTCACTATTACAATTGGAATCGGCCAAAGATGCCGAAGAAAACACGGCACGCAAAAAGGTTACACGAATCTCAAGTCCGGAGCGATGGGAAATCAAACAAATGATTTCGTCTGGTGTAATCGATCGCACAGAGCTACCTGATTTCGATGAGGAAACCGGTCTACTACCAAAAGATGAAGACGATGAAGCCGACATTGAAATCGAAATTGTCGAAGAAGAGCCAGCATTTCTACGTGGTCACGGTCGTGCACTGCATGATTTATCGCCCGTTCGAATTGTTAAAAATCCAGATGGTTCACTTGCTCAAGCCGCTATGATGCAGTCTGCGCTGGCCAAAGAACGTAGGGAACAACAAATGTTACAGCGTGAACAAGAGATGGACAGCATTCCGACGAGTTTGAATAAAAACTGGATCGATCCATTGCCAGAAGGTAAGAAATTGAATTTTTTTCAATTGAAATTTTTTTTCGTTCTGACGATAATAATAAATCGATTTTTCTTCATTATTCGAGATGACACACGAGAACTAGCAGCTAATGTCCGTGGCGTTGGAATTGCACCACAAGAAGTTCCCGAATGGAAGAAGCATGTGATTGGCGGCAAAAAATCTTCATTCGGTATGAAAACTAACCTCACACTCATCGAACAGAGACAATCGCTTCCAATTTATAAGTTGCGCGACGATTTGATAAAGGTAAGTGTCGTCTGCATATCCAAAGAAAGAAGAATTCAAACTAAACAATAAATTCCATTTTGTCTTACAGGCTGTAACTGATAATCAAATTCTCATTGTCATTGGAGAGGTAAGTTTACTGTGGAATTAACCCATTCTCATTAATATTTTGTCTTTTGTCAAACGTTAACTCTGAATTTTCATAACACCAATATTGTCTCTATTTCTCATTTAGACTGGATCGGGTAAAACAACACAAATCACACAATATTTGGCGGAATGTGGTTTCACGGCGCGTGGAAAGGTCGGCTGCACACAACCACGTCGTGTTGCTGCGATGTCAGTGGCAAAACGTGTTGCCGAAGAGTTTGGTTGTCGTTTGGGCCAAGAAGTCGGCTACACAATTCGTTTCGAAGATTGCACCAGTCCCGAAACCGTAATCAAATACATGACAGACGGTATGTTGCTGCGTGAATGCCTGATGGATATGGATTTAAAGTCGTACTCAGTCATTATGTTGGATGAAGCTCATGAGCGTACAATTCACACTGACGTTCTGTTCGGTTTGCTGAAACAGGCCGTATGCAAGCGTGCTGACCTCAAATTGATTGTAACATCGGCCACATTGGATGCCGTCAAATTTTCACAGTACTTCATGGAAGCGCCAATTTTTACAATTCCCGGTCGAACATTTCCCGTTGAAGTGTTGTACACCAAAGAGCCCGAAACGGATTACTTGGATGCATCGTTGATTACGTGCATGCAAATCCACTTGAGAGAACCACCCGGTGATATTTTGCTCTTTTTGACGGGTCGTGAAGAGATCGATACTGCTTGTGAAATTTTGTATGAGCGCATGAAATCACTTGGGCCCGATGTACCAGAATTGATTATTCTGCCAGTGTATTCAGCGTTGCCGTCTGAAATGCAAACGAGAATTTTTGATCCAGCACCAGCTGGTAGCCGTAAGGTGGTCATTGCTACAAATATCGCTGAAACCTCATTGACCATCGATGGTATTTACTATGTGGTCGATCCGGGATTTGTGAAACAAAAAGTATACAATTCAAAGACTGGCATGGATTCGCTTATGGTAACGCCAATTTCGCAAGCAGCGGCCAAACAACGAGCTGGCAGAGGCGGTCGAACTGGACCCGGAAAATGCTATCGCTTGTACACGGAGCGTGCGTATCGTGATGAAATGCTACCGACACCCGTGCCCGAAATTCAACGAACCAATCTCGCGACAACGGTATTGCAGCTCAAAACAATGGGCATCAACGATTTGCTTCACTTTGATTTCATGGACGCACCACCGGTTGAATCACTGGTCATGGCACTGGAGCAACTGCATTCGTTGTCTGCCCTCGACGATGAAGGTTTATTGACTCGACTCGGTCGACGAATGGCCGAATTTCCACTCGAACCAAATTTATCGAAAATGTTGATTATGTCGGTCGCACTGCAATGCTCCGATGAAGTACTGACCATTGTATCGATGCTTAGCGTACAAAATGTTTTCTATCGACCGAAAGACAAACAAGCTCTGGCCGATCAAAAGAAAACCAAATTCAATCAACTCGAGGGCGACCACTTGACTTTGCTGGCGGTGTACAACAGTTGGAAAAATAATAAATTCTCGAATGCTTGGTGTTATGAAAATTTCGTTCAAATCCGAACACTCAAACGTGCCCAGGATGTACGCAAGCAATTGCTCGGTATTATGGATCGTCATAAATTGGACGTCGTATCAGCTGGAAAGAATACGGTGCGCATTCAAAAGGCCATTTGTTCGGGCTTCTTCAGAAATGCCTCAAAGAAAGATCCACAAGAGGGCTATCGAACCATTGTCGATTCACAAGTGGTTTATATTCATCCATCCAGCGCTTTGTTCAATCGACAACCCGAATGGGTGGTCTACCATGAACTTGTACAAACGACTAAGGAATACATGCGAGAAGTGACTACCATCGATCCAAAGTGGCTGGTCGAATTTGCGTCAGCTTTCTTCCGCTTCAGCGACCCAACGAAACTCAGCAAATTCAAGAAGAACCAACGACTCGAACCACTCTACAACAAATACGAAGAACCAAACTCATGGCGTATCTCAAGGGTTCGTCGACGTCGCAATTAAACTTGTACACCATTTATTTTAATTAAACTTTCATGTGGATTTTAATCGAATCATTTGTTAGGCATAAGAACGAACGGAAATAAATTCCATTGGATTTTCATCTTCTGTATACTTAATTGTTTTCTTCTTTTCATTCAATTTATTAGAAAAATGTTGAAGTGTTTGAAAATTTATTCTTTTCATTGAGTACTCAATAAGGTAAAATGCAAAATGAACATTGGCTTTGGAGGCTGTTTCTATATTCATTCATTTGGCTTGAGCGTTACTAAAAACGTTAGCAATATACTCTTTGACGTTTTTATTTTAAATGAAAGTTTGCATTCTGTGTGAATTCTATTTTTTTTAAATTAGAACAAATGAAATCCATAACTTTTTTATACCGTTTATGCTATTGAAACTCCTATGCTGCCCCTATAAATTCATGTTTCACTTTTGCATATTCAGAACTCATGATTCATTTTTGCGAATTTTTTTTCTTGATGCGTTTCAGAATGTTTATTCCTGTATTGCCATTTTCATTCTCACAGCCTCATATTTTCAATAAACATTTTGTCATTTTATTCTATGTAAAGACAATGTGTACTATTAATTTTTCGGAGCTATCTTGAAATCATCGCTTTTTCACCTCTGCACTTCTTTTCAATCGATGATTTTTATCATAATGAAACATGTTTTATTTTCTTGTTTTCAAAGCTTTTGAATATTACCAAGAGTTTCGAGAGTAATATACGATGAGGTTGGTGTACTAAAGCAGGCTTTGCTACGGCATAAATGAGTCACAGTGCGTCAAGCAACGTCATCATATTGATGCGTCCGCCAAGCGCGTAGGAATAGACGAACAGACTTCGTTTCCCGCTAAGCTAGCGCTTCGTATTCTTCGCATGAATGTATTCAGCGTGATGAATATATGCCGCAGCGAAGCCTGTACTAAAATACTTTTACTAAATTTTATTACAGCTTATTTCTGACGTATGTGAATCTCACCACACGTATATGTGTGGTGTATACATCTAATGTAAAAAAGTCTAATAAAGAAATTCATTTATTTTTGGGAAGTCATTTATTAAGCCGATCATTGTTGTTCTTCTGAAAATCTTCAAAGTTTAAACCTTTTTTATCATACCTTCAGAGATTAAATGTGCAGTAGTCTGGGATTGATTTTCTGATAACCGACGAGATAAACGTTAATGAATACTTTGAATTCACTTTGCAATATATCTGCACATTCTGTACCCAAAAACAGCATTATAAACAGTTGAACAAATCAGCATTGTAGGCAGTTGTGTTTTGCACGTTACAGTGCATTTTACTCTGACAATTTGTCGCACCCGGGCCACCGTATTCATTTAAAAGCGCAATCAAATATACCCACACTTTCTATACTTTAACTGCTAAAGTGTTCAAGAAAACTATTTCAGTTTTAGCATCGGAAAAGTGAGACGAACAACATAAAAAAGTGTATTTGAATCATTGGGTATGTCAAACTTGTGGAATTGAGAAAAAAACATAACAATATCAATCATTCTGCGTTGAAGCATCATTCGAAACAGAGGAATACTTTTTTCTGTTAATTTCTACTCTTTAATTCAGAAATTAATTTTGTTTTCACAGGTTTTGATACTGATCAAGTGAAGTGATGA